TTATCCCCGTGCAGGGGAAGGAGTGGAGCGATGCGGGAGGGCCAACATGAGCTTTTCGGTAACGGGAACTCAAGAGAGAGGAATCAAAGACGGTGGAAAGTAGGTCAGGCTGCGGGCAAGCGCCAAATGAGCACACAGGGAGGAAAATCTGAAAGGCCGACACAAAAGGAGAGCGCGACCCCGACATTGTAACGCGAGGAGGGTCCTCAGGGCACGTTGCCCCGGGAGAGAGGAGGCGCTGCCTCCGAATTCAACGGGATGTGGCCCTGAGCAACCCAAGCTGGCTTTGAAGTTGGCCTTGCTGGACGTGGGGTCGGGTACGGAGCTCCAGGAGGGGTTTTTGTGATTCTTTTCGATTAACGCGGCCGCCACGGGACGGGAAGGAGGACGAAAGGCCACGTCCACAAAGGCCTCTCGACCCCCTCGCGGAGGGCGGCCACAGTTACCGGGGGGAAGCGAAGGTCAGGATGGAAACGGGAGCTGCTGCTGAGGTCAGGTTACAACAGCGAGGAAGAAATGAGGCTCAAAGAAGAACTAAAACCTACAATAAAGGTAGAAACGCATCAAAGAGCGGAGGAGGCCGTGGGTACAAGGAGCCTCGTGCTCACCTTGCGACCGTGAGGGATTTGACCACGAGCCAACGGCTTTAGATGAGAATAATAAATAATAAATGGGACGGCCTAAGAGAGCTTTTTTGGAGCTCTCCTCACATGGGGATGCTCCTCAAAGCAAAGAGATGTATCTAAGAAGGATATAAAAGTATTAGAACGTGCCCGAAGGACGACAACGGAGATGGTGAAGGTACTTGTGAGGAGCAGCTGAGAACACCAGGGTTGGTCAACCTGGAGCAGAGGAGATTGAGGTTTGACCTCGTTGCCATCTGTGACTTCAAGATTTGGGGTGTTGGGAGGTGTCTGGTGAAAGGACACGAGGGAACGGCTTAAAGCTGCATCGGGGGAAGTCCAGGTTGGCCACTGGGGAAGGGTCCTTCATGGAGAGGGTGGTCAAGCACTGGAAGGAGCATCCCAGGAATGCGGCCATGACCTCCAAGCCCGATGGTGTCCAAGAAGAGTTTGGAGAACGCTCTTGGCCATAGAGTTCAACTTGTAGGAGGCCCTGTGTGGAGTCAGGAGTTGGGCCTGATGATCCTCTTGGGTCTCTCCCCCAACCCAGGAGATCCTAAAAATGTTCCTTAATTCGGAAAACTGGGCTCTGGAGAGGGAGGAGACATCTTCAGCTGGGGCAGGACCTTGGGGCAACCCCACTGACGAGTCCTCATCCGGGGACAAAACACGAGCAAGAAGCAGATGGAGGAGCTGGAAATTCATTCCCTAAGCTCACGACATTCAGCCGACCCCTTCCTCCTCCTCCTAAAATCCCACGCCACATCAGATACAACCCAGAAGGAAAAGACTCTGCGAGGGGGTGAAGATCAACCAGCAAATGAACATTTGCTCCTTTTCCTAGATGTGGTGAAACACTGGGAGCAGATTGAGAGGAAAAATTCCATGTCTAGGAGAAGACCTTGCAGTTTAGGACACAGAAAGAGACCACAGGGGGTTAAATCTGGAGAAAAAACGGGAGAAGAAGGACGGAGGATGACGGTGCCAAGAGCACGGAGCAGTTTAGGTGACGGAGCGAGGAGCTGTTTTGAGGAGGCCGCGATTGCCTAACACTTCCCAACGCCTGCCAAGAGGCGCCACGTGTGGCTGCCAGTGGGCTCGGAGCCAGGAGACGCGCAAACGAGCCTCGCTAACGAGCCAAACCAGGCTTTAAGGGGGCGGTGGCAGCCGGGAGCGCCTTCGCCCGTCACAACACGCGGGGAAAGCCACCGCCGAGCGCGGGGACCTCCCTGGGGAAGCCGCCACCTCCCACGAGGACGGCTCAGGAGCTGGCAGAGTGGCAGAAAAGGGTGGAAGAAAGGGATTTTTAGGGGTTTAAGCTGTTTGAAACTGAAGCGGAGTGGATGTTGTAACCCCTGCTACGGCCCCTCCTGCTCTGCACGGCCGGGACGCGTCCGACGTCGAGCACGGGAGGGCTCAGCCATATCAGGAATCGTGAACGATCACTGGTCTGAAATCAGGACTGAAAAGGGGGAAGATTGGAAGACGTGGGTCTACAGAAGGGCATCAACCTCTTTCTGTGGGTGAAACGAACAGCAACGGAGTTCAATATTAAAAAAATCTCAAAGACTCCATCGGCTTTCCAAAGGCGGAAGCACGGGTGCGGTGGTGGGGTCTCCGTCAGAGCCCGGAGCAGCCAATTTTGGGTTGGTTTTGGCACCGTGGACCTGCCTGGAAGCAGCGGGAGGGAAGAGGTAACCTCCGAAATCCCACTGATGTCTCAAAACTTCCCAGTTTTGCCTCAAATGCTCCCACCCAAACAACCAGCGCGGCCAAGTTCAAGTCCTCACCGCAGACCCAAACACCTACACTTCCTCCCTTTGGCTTTTAGTTTTGTGTCAAGAGTTTTTTGGGGGTTATTTTGGGTTTATTGAGGTTTTAAACAAACAGACAAGGGTATGAGCCCAGCAGGAGCCAAACCGAGCCCTCCCGCTCTGCTCACCGGCAAAGTGAGCGTGCGTTAAACCTGGAGCCCTTCCCCAACGCCGCTCTTTGTTTCCGCACCAGGATGGGAGATTTCACCCCCAAAAGACCAAAACGTTCAGGTCTGGCCAGGATTTGGTTACAAACCCAAAATCAGTGAGCACCACCAAACTCATGGTCGCTTAAAATCCTCTATAAATGACAAAATTAGCATAAAACACAAGCAGAGGACGTCCAAACCCACGGCAGGGTTTGCTCGGCCGCTTATTAAATAAATATCGCGAGGCAACGGGTGATATTTATTTCAATAAATTCAAATTGGTTGCGATGGAGACTTCCAGCACGAAGGCCAAGCACCTCGAAAGCATCGGTTTTGGGGTTGGAAGTGAATCACACACACAGAATCGGTCGGTTGGAAAAGACCTCTGAGATCATCACGTCCAACCGTTCCTGTCTACCCCCTAAACCATATCCTTAAGTACCTCATCTACCCGCTCTTTAAACACATCCAGGGATGGTGACTCCACCACCTCCCTGGGCAGCCTGTTCCAGCTTCTGACAACCCTCTCAGTAAAGAACTTCCTCCTTCTCTCTAACCTGAACCTCCCTTGGCACAGCTTGGTGCCGTTTCCCCTTGTTCTATCCCCCATCACCTGGGAGAAGAGACCAGCACCCACCTCTCTACAAGCTCCCTTGAGGCAGTTGGAGGTGGTGATGAGGTCTCCCCTCAGCCTTCTCTTCTCCAGGCTAAACAAGCCCAGTTCCCTCAGCCGCTCCTCATCAGGCTTGAAACAAGGAAGGTTTCGACTCGCGGCAATGAGCTCGAGAGCATAACTAAAATTAAATTTAAATACAAAAGCCATCCACCCATTGCCATCTCCACGCGATTTTGCTGCGGTTACACAACAGGTTGCCTGGAATTTTTAAGCTTTCCAAATTTTCCTGTCTTCTTGGCATTGTCCCCCAAAACCACGACCCATAAGGACATGGGGAACAGGCAAATTTAAACCCAGGAGCACGGCTTTAGAAGGTGTTTGGGCTTCAAGTGCAGACCACGCTTGCCCTCAAGGCCGAAGCAGCCCAGAATTAAGCCCTGATTCAACTCCTTTTCCCGAACGGACAAATCTTGACCCAATTTCTCCCACCGGCATTTTGGGGCACAATGAGGAGCAGGAGACGTTCCCAGCCCCAGGTGCTGGGAAAACCTCGAGTGACGTTGCCCGAACCCACGAGCAAGATCCTATTTCAAGACGTAACCAACAAGCAAGATCCTATTTCAAGACGTAACCCATTTTTTTTCCCCAAAACCTTCACATTTGGGTCATTTCAGATGCGATCCGCCTCGTCAAGAACCACATTCACCTCTTCTCCATTCAGGGGTTGATACCAAAAGGTGGCCGCGCTCTTGCGTCACAGAGACGCTTTCCACCCTTCTTAACTATGAAATACCCATGAGTATGAGCGGCGCGGTGTAGGATGGCTTGTGCCAGTGAATTTTGGGCACTGGGAGACCTCAAAATTGCCAAAATACAGCATGCAGTCAGCAGAAACAGAAACCTCTGGCAACAGAAACCCTCCAAAACGCCTCTCGTTGGCATCAACCACCGCCCCGAGCTCGTGGTTGTTCAACAGCCAAGGTTGGCCACGCCAAGAGTGAAGAGTTCGGGTTTTAATTGAAATATCAAAGAGCCTCTAATCCCAGCTCTCCAGACGGCTCCGTGTGCCCAGGCTGCAATTTGGAGCATATCGAGCACAGATTAAAACAGGAAGAAACCCGATCGCTTCTTGCTGCGGGGACGGATCTAACGGAGGATTCGACCTAACGAGGAGCCGCTGCAAGGACTTTGAGACCGGGTGCAGGCGGTTGCATTTCCTAACGCGCGAGCGAGCTTTTAGTTTTTGGAAGAACGCGACATTGGTGCAAAATCAAGGGGTTTTTAGGAGCATTGCAAGGGAAAGGTGGAAGCTGCTTGGGATGGGCTCTGATGATCCCATGTGAATAATTTGGGGCTCCGCTTGTGGAGGGGAACCAGCTCAGACCCAAATCTGCTTGGGAAGGACCCTTTACACTGGGAAATCAGCAGCCAAGGGGTGAACGCAAATCCCCAAACCAGAGTCATCCACCACATCCCCATCCACCCACCCGAACCAGCATCCGACCTCGCAGGAGAGCGCCAACGATGGAGACAGACAAATCCAATTCATCCCGTTAAATACCCCGCCTGCGGCAAGGATGCAATGGTTTGGGGGTCAGCAAATGGGTTTCTGGCTCGCATGGGGGGTTTTCGGGGCCACTCACCGTCTCTGTAGGACTGGAGGGACTCGTCGCCCCAGGACGGGGGGAACGGGGACAGCGGAGACCGCGCGACGCCACACTCGGCCATGGGGGTGACGCTCTTGCGAGGGCCGAAGCCGTGAGCTTCCCGCTCTTGGCTC